GGTGACTAGCGGTCCCTGCCAAAGCCAGTGTCCGCAATGAGTCCCCAAACAGCACTTTTTCTTCTGACGACCGGATCAGTTCTCCTGTTTCTTTGTGGACACACCGGGGCGTCTGGCTGCGCTTCTGTCCTCTGACTGTGTTTGTAGTTTCCACATGCCACCTTGGCGCTTTCACACACTGCTGCCTCTCCGATCCCTCACATAGGCTGTGCCACCTCTTCCAGTCCACTGCCCACCAGTGTGCTTCTGCAGCCGCTCAGACCCTAGAGGAAGCAGTACTGCCTGGTTCCCTGGAAACACCTGCTGCTGTATCTGAAGTGACCCCTAGATTAGGCCCATCCTACTAATGCACTGTAAATGCTGTGTAACACATGTAAGTAGTTCCTATGCTGCATTGTTTGGGGAATAAGGACAAGAAAAAGTCTGTCCATATTCATCTTTTCTTTCCAAATATTTTCAGTTTGTGGTTGGTGACTCTGAGGACACAGGACTCACTCGTGAGACAGGTGCCACTGTGTAAGGTACAGAACTGTCCATCCACTGCCTTTCAGCCCGTCCCCCCACTTGCTGTCCTGCCCAGGCTTTTGAGGTTGGGCCAGGGCTGTCCAAGCACTGCCTCTGCCCTGACTGGCCCAGCAGCACCACCACCGGCTGGGCTTGTTTGAAGGAAGCATCTCTGGTATGGCTACAACCACTGCTGTGCAGCCTGGGTTTTGCCCAGGGGTGCAGATGGCCACACGCACACACTCACATTTGGGAAGCAGTGCTTCCGAGGAGTTTGGTTCACTCTCATTTGGCAGAGAAAAGAGACCCACATCAAAGCACGTTCTGCTAAGGTTTAAAAGATAAATAAAACTCCCTTCAAATCCGGGTAAAGGAGAAAAGGCTACACACCAAGAAACAAACACAAGTCGAGCTATGATGTCTTGCAGTGGTAAACCCCAGATAACAAACCCCCAGAGCGTGGTGCAGGCAACTGGGATGGGTCTCTTCGTGGATTTTCTTGGGATGAGAGAGCCTTTTCTACCCGCATAATAAGGTCATTTTGCCTTCCAGAAAACCCCCCTCAGTTACCTCTGCCATGATGCTTTTTATTCCTGCTGATCTGATATTTCCTCTGAGAGTTTTAGCTCCTGCTCCTGCCCCATATCCTCCACTTTATTCTCTTTTCTTGCCTTACTTTTATGCACTGTGTTTTCTGAGAGGGCTTCTTGAGGTTGCTGTCTATATTTACAAGTGGATGTTGTGCAGTTGATAATTCTCTATCCGTCTAGGGGAGATCTGAGTTTGAATATGGTGTCTGCAGTTTCCCTTTGGTTGGTACAGAACCTGGGGTCTTGACCCAAGGAGCAGTAGGAGAAACTCCAGATTCTGATTACTCACACTGGAAACCCCACAGCCACTGAATGTGTCCACCTCTCATCCCAGTATTCTCAGCCTTATCATTCATTAAAATCCACTCCTGATTCTAAAAACAGAAAGGCAGCTAATCCCAGGTCTCTGCCCCACAGCAAGTTTATATATTTTGCTTTGCCTTCATAGATAATAGTTACATGCTAGCTGGTGATGGCAAGGTTAATTTTTGCTCTTGGGCAGAGTCAAATTTATCCTAATAGTATGGCATGAAAATAAGGTACACACAGTCCTACATGTTACGCTGTGTACATCAGCCTGCTTCTGGATCAATTAGTCTCACTCCTGAATTCTACCTGAAAGACCAAGTCTACGCACATCAGGTTTTCTCCCTGTGCTGGAACTGGGCATGGTTTTGTACAGTTAATGAGCAGATCCTCCTGAGGAAAGTCTGGCTTTTGGTGACACTGGCAGGCCGAGAAGAAAGGAGCAGCGTTAGAGTGACGAGCAGTAGGTGATAACAGAAGCCCGGGGAGCCAGGCAATGGTATCTACCAAGATAAATCGTCACTGCTGCTGGAACCTCGAATCATTAAATTCATAAACAGTTATTTTTCCCTGACAAAATCATGTTTATGGAGCTCTTAATAATGTTTTCACTCATCAGCAAATGACCTCTAATATGTGTGTACTGTAAATTGTGTCCTTATAACACATCACTTCTCTCTCAACTCATTTATGTGTCTTCAAAATACAGATCAGAAAAACTGAAAGTCACCCCACCTTGGCTTGCGCTATTCTATTTTGGCACATAAACAGCATAATCATAATCTACTTAGAACATTTTCTGCCCTTCAGTGTCGTCAGTGGGGACATAGGGGAAGAACCCTGAGAAGGCAGTGACCCTAACATGACGTGTTCATTTTAAATAATGACAATCAGATAGTGCTGTTATTCTAATGTGTGTAGGGAGAAATGGACAGAGCTTTCCCGGGCCATTTCTGTTTACCAAAGAAACTACTATATCATCTTCGAGATATCTGGCATTTGGGGTGTGTGTGTGTGTGTGTGTGTGTGTGTGTGTGTGTGTTGTGGGGGAGTTTGTCCTAGCGGGTTAAGATGGCTGAGTCCCATATTGGAATGCCTGCGTTTGATTTCTGGCTCTAGCCTCTGACTCTGACTGCAGCTTCCTGCTAATGCAGACCCCAGGAAGCAGTGGTGCTCGTTCAAGTGGTTGGGTTCCTGCCACTCACAGGGAGACCTGGATGGACTTTCCAGCTCTGAACTTTGGCCTCAGCCCATGCTCTGCTCTTGAAGGCACTTGGGGAATGAATCAGATGGGAGTTCTCTCTTTGTACCTGTGTCGTCTCTTTAGTAAAAAAAAAAAATGAAAAAAAAATGAAAAAAAAAAAGATGAGAGGCATTCCAACTAGCATTTGATATATTCAAAGACCACGACCCATTGGAGAGAATGAATGACGTTTTGAGGAGGTCCTGCTCGGCCCTGCACATGCCCCTGCCAGAGAGGCAAAGACTGTCCCTGGCTCAGCTGGTGCAGGCAGGCACGGGGAAGCTTCTTTAAAAGGCCCCTTTCTTTCCACCTTACTTTTCTCACCCGTCTGTCTATCCCTTTGTTTGGTTCGGCTCGCCACGTCCTGGTGAAATTACTACACGGCCACTTACAGATCACCATAGCGATGCCAGACATGAGGGCAAGTTTCAAAGTTGATTGGATGTAAGCAGTGAGATCAGACAGCTGCAAACCCCATGTGCTCGTGATGCCTAACTCAAACCAGTGAAAGGTGACTACAGGTAAGATCAGACAAGCCAGACTGAGAAATGACACAAGGCTGAACTGTTTTGCTCTAGATTTGGTCAAATCACGTGGGAAGACACACCGGAGACACTGATACTGGAGTTCCCCTAGATGCAGGCATCCAGCCAGGCATCCTGAGAAGTGGTTCACCGTGGAGCCAGAGACAGGACAACTTGGGCTGAGGCCTCTTTAACCCGCAGGAGCTTCGGGGCAGTGGGGCCTGGCGGCAGGGAGCTGAGAATGCCTGCAATGCTCCTGATAAAAGGTGGGGTTTTCTTCACCTATGGAGCTCACAGAGACACGGATGTCCTGCGTTTAACTTCTACTGTTTGGTGGATTCATTGATTGGTTGGAGAGGCAGAGACAGAGACAGCAAGAGAGCCCCCACCTGTTGGCTCACTTCCCAAATGCTGCCAAGGATTGGAGCTGCACCAGGAAGTCAATGCATGAGTCCCACGTGGGTGGCAGTGACCCAACTGCTTAAGCCATCACCACTGCCGCCCTGGTGTGCGTTAGCAGGGAGTGGGGGTTCAGGAGCCTCAGCTGAGTGGTGAACCTGAGTGCTCTGACCTGGGACATGGTAGTCTTAAACATTAAGCCAAACGCCTGTCCCTGATTCCCTACTTTTAATTGGTGACAGCATCGTGGTGCAGGTGGGCAGTTCTGAGAGAAGCAGGGCATGATGGGCGATGGTAAGAGGAGATAGGCTTGCCCACATCTAGTGGGAGAGCCGTCTTCACTCTGACTTGTCAGTGGGAGCCAAGGTGGCCATGGGTGGTCATGGGTGGCTCTATTCCAAGGGCCATCGGTGGTTCTGGAAGCAAGACAAGAAGACTGGACTGGGGGTTGGAGTTGTGGTATAGCAGGTAAAGCCGCCCCTGAAACACCAGCATCCTACAGGGGTGCCAGTTCCTGTCCCAGCAGTCCCATTTCTTATCCAGCTCTCTACTAATGTCCCAGGAAAGTAGCAGAAGATTGCCCAAGTGTTTGGGCGCCTACACCCATCTGGGAGACCTTAATGAAAGGCCTGGCTCCTGGTGTCAGCCTGGCCCAGTCCTGGCTGTTGCAGCCATCTTGAGGGGTGAACCAGCAGATGGAAGATCAACTCTGACTGTGACTTTCAAATATATAAATAAACCTTAAAAACAACAACTAGATTGGACTGAATTGCTTGGGAGGCTCTGTTCTGGAGCTGTGGCGCTCACAGGACAGTCTCAGAAATGCTGCTGCAGGCGGCCACTTTCAGCCAACTTGTCCAGGAGCCTCAGGCCAGATAAGATGCCACAGAAAGGAAACATCATCCTACCACACAGACAGGTCAAGTCAGGGTCACCCTAGGTAACGTACTGCAGACTAAAAATTTTGTGTTGCTAGAAACATTCATTTTTCTCCAGGCCAGATGTATTTTTTTTTTCTTAGAATTACAAATCCTGCTACCCACAAGGCACTCAACATGATTGAGTGTTTATATTGTAATTTAAAAATTAGGGATGCTGTTTAAAAAGGACTTGGGAATCAGCAGCAGTGTGTGCATACAGGGACTTCACTTCTGAATGCATAAGTTAATGTTAATGATTGTATTGCTACCATAATGCATTTTAGACCAGTGCAGACCCTATGCAATTTAGCTTATTTATGTGGCCAAGCTGTAGGGCGAGCTCGATGATGGGATATATTTTTGGAGATTTGGGTTGTCTGGCTTCATAAGTCAATGTATAAAAATTCCTGCAAAACCTGGAGATCGGCTCTGTCGTGTTTTATTGCTTCATTAGCAACCTGTCAAAAAGTGGGACCATATAAACCGGGTGATGGTTTTTCACCTGTTCACTTACTTTTTATCGGGATAATGAGCTGTGGAATGACAGGTAGAATCTTGTTCCCCCCGTGTTCCAGCATGTCGTGGATTCCTTGCCGAGCAAAAAACTCATAGGGAAATGTCATTTCACAAAGCCCATCAAAAAACAGAGGCAGATAATGATGGTAATCCAGCTTCTCGATTTCTACCTGGAAGCAGAGAGAGAAGAGAGGCCACGTGAAAACGACAGTGGAGGCAAACGTGGCCCAGCGGGGGTGAGGCTCTGTCACGGACGCGGGGGAGCAGTCCTTGAGAACCTCAGGAAGATCTTCGTGATCAGTTCCCCTGGCGACCTGAAGCTTGGTCATGTGTTTAGTCTATCAGCAATGAGGTTACACATCACTGACCGTAACTCTTAACAGCCAAATCTCAGTCACACACAATCTATTTTGGGAGCATATTAATAATGTGTCCCCCCATCTTTTTTTTAATCATTTGGCACAGTGGAAAAACTGGGGAGGATTCAAGAAGCCCATAGTACACATGTGGAAAGATCCGTAAATGTAATGTATAGGAGTGAAATGGACATTTTGGGATTCGATGATTACAGCCCCTGTCTCTACTGTTGAGAAACACTTTTTTTTCCTTCTTCTTACTATTTGTTGAACACTTTACTTAGTGTAGGGGTAATCTTATGAGTATAAAGTAAACTGAAAGTAATTATTGTAAAAAATTAAGAGAAGGAATAAGAAGGGAAGGGTGGGAGTGTGGGAGGAAGAGAGGGTAGGGTAGGAAATAGCACTATGCTCCTAAATCTGTATGTAACAATTGCTAGAAGCATAAAATGGAAGAAAGAAAGCAGGTGGAAGAGACTGGCACCCAGAATTCCAGCGGGAATGTAACAGAATGTTTTCCTGAGGAGTATGCTAACGACAAGCGTGGGGAAGTGTATCAGCCTGGGGTCAGAGGCCTGGACAGCAGGAGGGGGACGGGTCAAAGGGTTCTTTGCTTGTTTCCCTGGACCTGGATGACAGACTGCTGGTGCCATCAAGGAAAGAGAGGGAAGAATGGGCTGACCTCAGATGGACCTCCGACACCTCAACACCAGATGTCCCAGCTCTCCACGAGCTTGCTTCCACCCATCCCAAACCGCACCCCCAGCACCCTCAGCAGTGCCTCTGTACCCTCTCATCTGGGCCTCTGCACCAGCAAGGAACAGGAACCAAGTTCTGGAGTTGAGAAGAGAGATGGTGAGTTGGGAATTATCTCCATGCAGGAGATTTACTATTGCCCTGACCACTGGCTGCCTGGAGTCTCCATGGCCTCGCACCAGCAAGATGCTGGTGATGTTATACACAGAAAGCAGCTCACAGACTCAGACTACTGATCCAGGGCAAAGGAAGTGACCTTCCCATAAGGAGGCTCAATTTTCCAGGTTTCCAAGTTTCCATGAATGCATCCAGCTTCCAATAATCACAGTCTAATTAAGTAAGGAGCCATCAGGTCAGCAAGGCCGTTGGGAAACTCCTTTGTCTGTTCCTGCAAGATTTTATGCCCTCCAGCCACCCCCCAGGTTCTGCAGGCTCTTGGCACATGCCCGCCTGCCTCTGCCTGTGAGGAGCCATAACAGACCTGGAGGGCTCCCGGGTGTTTACTGTGAGTCTGGATGAACCAAGTGTCTCACAGCTTTCTGCTTGTGATGTTCTCTCTTACAATGCACCCTCAGGCAAAGGTCCTGGTGAAGAGAGAACCCGGCTAACCAAGATGGTTTGTCGGTGAGAGATGTCATTCAGATCCTCTTTTGGAACTGGGGCTTAGAAAATGAATTCCAAATGTAGACCACACAAATGTCAACTTTACTTTATATTCCTTGTATATCTATAAAATTTAATTAAGCCAGTGAAAGTTGATGAAATATCTACTTAATATTACTTATCTCAAGGATTTTTGTGCATTTAAAATGTTTTAGAAAAGTATTTTGTATATTTAAGGAAATTTATTGCTGCATCATTCAGTTCCTAAAGGTACAATCTTATGTATAATTTTGCCTTCTAAGCTACTTCATAATAAAAGTGCTATCTATAATATACTTTTTATTCACATTTTGGGATGTTTTAATTCCCTTTCTTTTGGCCCATTGTTGCAGTTTTATGTGTTTCTCTTATAAGCAGCAAAATATTCCTTTACTAATTTAATATGATCTAAGATTCTTTGCATCTTAATATATCAATTTTAGTCATTTACATTTATGGTCATGCCTAGTTTAACTTAAGTCATCTTAATTTTTTTGGTCTCTGGTTGTTGTTTTTAATTTGCTATTTTTTACTGTGTACTTTTGTTATGTAGATTATGTTTTTACTTAATTTGAGGACGGAATAGGGAGGGAGTTTATTGCTCTAGTCTAGGGGAAGATAGTTTAAAAAAACATGGAGAGAGTCCAATCGCAGGGTAGAGTTAAGAAGAAAAGCAGAGGAAATGCCATACAAATTAGAGGGACACTGTAGACCAATGTGGAAGGTGTAGATGCATACAGCTCAGGACCCCAGCAGCCAAGGGCCTCAGCATCAGCTTTGGAGAGTGAGATGAGACCAGACTGCAGTAGCCCAAGCCAGTGGCAATAAAGCCGCTGGAAGAGCCTGGTGTGAATCTGGCTTGGAGCACTCTGGAGGATAGTGCCCACCAAACTAGAGGAAAAAAATGGGAGCACGCTTCTCTCTCCCCGACTACCCAGCACCAGTGTTCTATAACAAGCAGAGAGAGAGGGCAGGCACCATTTTGGACATATGTAACAGCTTTGCCAGCTTGTGTCTGCGACCAGCAACCAGCCAAGCAGAGAAGTCTGTGTCTGGATGGGAGAATTGACAGGGGGTTGGGTGCTCATGACTGTGGGAGCCTTGCATGCCAGGACTGTGAAAACACTGTGGCTGCAGCTAAGGGTGCAGGGTATGGTTGGGTCTTTGAGTAGTCACTGTGGGCAGCTCCATGTGCTTGGGGCTCCCTGATTCCCTGGTTAGGGTCTTTGCTATGGGATCTGTGCTCACATCAAAAACTGCATGGATCCTTTGTGTGGTTCTTGTGGCAGTACAAATGAATATTACACCCACTGGGGCTAGCAATCTGGCATTGGTCTCTTTGTAGGAGGGCAGGTGAGCATAAGATGGTGCCAACAGGATTAATCCCTCCTCTCTGCTAAAAAAGAAAGAGAGAGAGAGGGAGAGAGAGGGAGGGAGGAAGATTGATTTACCACACTTAATTTAGGCATCCCTTCGGACATGCCCATCACCCTGGACTACGAAACAGAGCTCCCTGGCCACACTCAGCACATGACTCTGGGTATTCACGGAAAAGCAGACACTCCACTAATCCACAGAGGAATAGTCCAGAGATAAAAATCACCACAGGGGAAAAAAAAAACAAGTATCTCCACAAATGCCCAAAAATAAACACAGCAACTCAAGAAACAAGAATAAAGAAAACAACATGATGCCTCCAAAGGAACACAACAACATTTCAATACTGGAATGTGAAAATGAAGAATTGAAGAAATGCCAGAAACAGAATTCAAAAAATTGATGGTAGGATTCCTTAGAAGTAATTAGAAGGAAATCTATGAATTAAAGAAGTACATACATGACATGAATGAACATTTTCCCATGAAGTCCCCATGAAGTTGAGATTTTAAGGAGAAATCTAAATGAAATATTGGAAATGAAGAATTCAATAAAACAAATAAAAAATGTGATAGAAAGCCTTAAGAACAGACTTGGTGAGTCAGAATAAAGAAGTTAGGAGACAAATCTCTGGAAATTCTATGTCAGACCAAAAAAAAAAAAAAAAAAAGAAAGAAAGAAAGAAAGAAAGAATAAATTAGAAAACCAAAAAAAAGCTTTGGGGATTTATGGGGTACTATCAAACGACCCAACATGCAGGTCTTCAAACTTCCTGAATGCGTGGTGGGGAGAATGGATCAGAAGGTCTTTTTAGTGAAACAATTACAGAAAACTTCCCTAATTTGGAAAAAGAAAGGGATGTCCAAGTACAAAAAGCACATAAAACTCCTAATAGACATGATCAGAAAAGATCTTCATCATGACACGTTGTAGTCAAACTCTCCACAATAAAACATAAAGAAAAGATTCTAAAATGTACATGAGTGAAACAGCAGATAACTTTCAGAGGATCTCCGATTAGACTCATAACTGACTTCTCATCAGAAACCCTACAAGCTGCCAGAGAATGGTGAGATATATTCCAAGTCTTAAGAAAAAAAAATGTGAACACAGAATACTGTACCCTGCAAAACTCTCATTTATGAATGAAGGTTACATAAAGACTTTCCATAACAAACAGAATTTGAAAAAATTTATCACCACTTGTCCAGCCTTACAAAAGATACTTAAGGATACGCTACACACAGAAACACGGTCTTCACAATGAAAGAAGATGAAGGCAAAAAAATCTCCCAGTAAAAGTACAAAGGAAATCCAAAGTAAACAGTAGGAACATTTATGGAAAAATGGCAGGGAAATTGAACTCACTCTTGTTTTTATTCTGTAGTTTGTTAGGTGTCAGAATATCCTGTTTCTGGGAATCTAGCCACATATTAAGGCAATCTGTTTTTGAATCTTTTTCCAAATGACCAACAGACACATGAAAAAATGTTCAAGATCACTAGCAATCAGGGAAATGCAAATCAAAACCACAATGAGGTTTCACCTTACCCCGGTTAGAATGGCTCACATACAGAAATCTACCAACAACAGATGCTGGCAAGGATGTGAGGAAAAAGGGACACTAACCCACTGTTGGTGGGAATGCAAACTGTTTAAGCCACTGTGGAATTCAGTCTGGAGATTCCTCAGAAACCTGAATATAACCCTACCGTTCAACCCAGCCATCCCACTCCTTGGGATTTACCCAAAGGAAATTAAATTAGCAAACAAAAGAGCTGTCTGCACCTTAATGTTTATTGCAGCTCAATTCACAATAGCTAAGACCTGGAATCAACCTAAATGCCCATCAACAGTAGACTGGATAAAGAAATTATGGGATATGTACTCCATAGAATACTATACAGCAGTAAAAAAACGAAATCCGGTACTTTGCAACAAAATGGAGGAATCTAGAAAACAACATGCTGAGTGAATTCAGTCCCAAAGGGACAAATATCATATGTTCTCCCTGATTGGCAACAACTAACTGAGCACCAAAAAGGAAACCTGTTGAAGTGAAATGGAGGCTATGAGAAACAATGACTTGATCAGCCCTTGTCCTGACTGTCGAGGAACAACTTAATACTTTATCCCTTTTAGTATTTTTTTTTGTTCTACTTAATACTATTGGTTGAACTCTGTAGTTAACACACAATTATTCTTAGGCATTTAAATTTAACTGAAAAGTGATTCCTGTTAAATATAAGAGCGGGAATAAGAGAGCAGGGAGATGTACAGTTTGGCACATGCTCAATCGGACTTGCCCCAAACTGTAGACTTAGAAACATGCCAGGCGATTCCAATTCAATCCCATCAAGGTGTCATGTACCAATGGCATCTCACTAGTCAAAGGGATCAGTTTCAGTTCATAATTGATTATAATGATAGGATTAAGAGTCAAAAGAATCACATAAACGAGACTAGTGTCTGCTAATACTAACAGAATGAAAAAGGAGAGAACGATCCAACATGGGAAGCAGGATACACAGCAGACTCATAGAATGGTGGTTGTCCTAAACAGCACTCTGGCCTCAGAATCAGCCCTTAAGGCATTCGGATGTGGCTGAAGAGCCCAAGAGAGTATTTCAGGCATGGAAAGCCAAGACACTCTGGCAAAAAACAAACAAACAAACAAACAAACACCCTAAATGAAAGATCTCTGTGAGTGAGATCCCAGTGGAATGAACGGGCCATCAAAGAAGGAGGTATCTTTCTCTGATCTTTCTCTGCAGGGAGAAGAGAACTTCCACTTTGACTATGACCTTGTCTAAATAAGATTAGAGTTGGCAAACTGAAAAGGCTTCCATAGCCTTGACAGCCCATGACAAGAGCCTCAGGTGATTACAGAGGCCATAAACAAGAGTTTCAATTGTTAAGCCAAGAACAAGAGTCACTGTATACTTACTCCCCATGTACGATCTCTGTCCTTAATGTGTTGTACTATGTGAATTAATAGTATAACTAGTACTCAAACAGTACTTTATACTCTGTGCTTCTGTGTGGATGCAAACTGTTGAAATCTTTATTATATACTAAATTGATCTTCTGTATATAAAGATAATTGAAAATGAATCTTGATGTGAATGGGAGGGGAGAAGGAATGGGAGATGGGATGATTGCAGGTGGGAGGGAGGTTATGGGGGGAAAAAGCCACTGTAATCCAAAAGCTGTACTTTGGAAATTTATATTTATTAAATAAAAGTTAAAGAAAGGAGACATTGATTATATTGGACCATCTCTTTTTTTCTCCTCTTTTATTACATATGATTTGTGTGATTACAGTGTTAAGTCTTAGTTCATATGTCTTTGAGCAGAAGAGTATATCAGTTATTTTAAATGAATTTTCCCCGTCTTTGAAGCTTAGTTTGTAAGTGTATTGCTGTCACAAAAGAAAATACTGGGGTTTGCATTACTTGAATACTTGAAAATTAAAATTTATAAGCTATATTATGTAATGAATTAGTTTTTTATTTCTGGATAAAATTAGAAATGAAATAAAGATTGAGCTACTTAAAGAATGAGAATAATGAAAGCGCTTATAAGCACTGTGAACCTTTTTGTGTTTGAGGCATCCAAAGTTCAAGTGTTTATCAGATCTTTCTCCTAAAATCCTGCTCTTCTTTTCTGTGCTTCATGCATTTACTCTTATTATTGATGTTCTAAAACAGCAAGGTGAAGTGTCATTATGTCTGTGTTCATTATGAATCTCATGGCTTTTCTACTTAGGAAAACAATCTTCTCAAAAACATTCTTAGTGTCATTTTTTTTGGTTAATATCTTACCCATTAATGGTATTTTAGGTACTTTTAATCATTTTAATAAGGTATCTATAAAAATTTAAAACATTACATATTGTATTTGAACTAGTTAGTGAAGAGTAAGAAAAAAAAAACTAGCTTACTGAGAATTTAGATGTTCCATTAGTTAAATTTCAAAATTTTTAATAAAGAAACTCTCAGAGATAGGTTGAGACCTGACAGTATCCATTAAACTAGCTCCTGTGATGTGGAAAGGAATCCCAGAAGCAGTGGAGAACGTGTGAGGGCATTTACTTGCCATGGTTGTGGTTGTGGTATGCTCGTACTTAAATACAGCTAGTGACACACTGACATTTTTGTTGCCCAATAATCTGGAGTAGTGTTCTGCATTTATCTGTCCCAAAATAACAACATAATGGAAGCTACAAAGAAGAAACGTATGACTGTAGTGTATTTGGGAGCCTTTGTACAGCCAGGTAAAGTTTCCATGATACAAAGTATTTGGATTCTAAAATATACTATTATAAGAGAGAAGACATGGCATTATTTCATGTGCTTAAATGATAAGTTGCCTGCTGAGTTTCAGAAGAAAAAATATGAAATGAGTAATTGTCACTGTGTTAGCTATAGTCTTAAATTGGCAAGTTGTAGATAAAGCTTATATATATATATATATATATATATATATATATGTTTCTCAAATGTGAACCATAGTAGTCTAATGCTGCTTTGTATGTACTGTAAATGCTACAAATAGGCTCAGAACTAAATGTGTATTGATATCTCTCAAATGAATGCAACCTTTGATGTAGGTATTTTGATATGCCTCAGAAAGTATCTGAGTGTCTTTGAACTTGTTAATATGTTTGGTAATGAAGATATTTCCTGTTCTTTTTTGTTGTTATTCCATATTTTCATGTTTAAATTTGAATTTTTATATTTTTACTACTGTTAATTTAAGTTCAATTTGTTCAATGGTTAAAACGTGGTTGTCAGTGAAGGAATTTAATAACAGCTTAAGTGAAAAATACATTTTGCATTCTGTGTTCATACACTTTTCATGATCTGTATTTCTGTTTAAATAAAGTGATGATGTTTAGGCTTAGTTTCTGTTCAGCAAGGCTTTTTGCCATTGACTAAGTGAAGGAATGTATTCTTTTGAAGAGATTTATATTCTGTGAATAAAAATTGGTTGAAACGATACAAAAAGTGAATTCAGGAAAAAAGACACATTGATTATTTTATTACAGCTGTCTGATAGTCATCTGAAGCATTTTCAAACATATTTAGCATAGTGACGGGGCAAGTTAAAAAGTCTTCTACAAAGATTGTTGATTTGGCAATTCTTCCTTGGAATTCTATCTTTGTATGATTTGTGTGATTCTATTTTTGCATGATTTGGGGCAACAGTACCAACTGCAGAAACAACAGTGCCAATGTTTTGGATGGCAGACACTGTTGAAAGCACTTTGTGTGTCCTAGTTCTCTTAATATTCACAACTGCTCTAAGATGTGGGATTATTAGTGTTCCAGTTTTCAGTGTAAGGAAACCAAGGCACAGTGAGGCTTAACAACTTGCCTAAGGTCTGCAGCTGGAGACTGCTGGAGCTGGGATTCAAGCTCAGTCAGTCTGGCTGTGTGACCTGGTGCTGACTTGCAGGCTTTGTTGTCAGGCACATTGTGGTTCAATATTGCTGTAATCCCTGGCAAATTGTTCCATTTACCTTTGCCTCCATCCCCCTTACCAATAACAATAGTGTCATGATTGGTTTGCCTGGCATTTCCTCTTCTAGCCATTTCCTTTTTCCCCTCTCTCTGGGTCTCTCCTAAACAGCTTACACTGGATTTGTTTTCCCTCTTGGATTTAGTAATGCTTTCAGACAACAAGTACTGAGTATCCACAGCATTCTTATCTTCAAAACTTTGACAAAGAAAGTGATGAGAGAAAAGATTAGAAAAGAGAAAGAAAGAGCAATAGAAACATTGAGTGAAAGAATAGAAGTATTGAGGAAAAAAATCTCTACGTCTTTAAATCCACATGGTTCACAGACACAACACTTCTTTCATACCAAATATACTCTAAAAGGAGTTCTTGTTTTGATCTGTTTATCAATTATTTGGTCTATCTGTGATCATTGTAGAGTATGGCCTTAATAATGTAATGCCAACTTGCTATTACATTTTGAGGTCACAAACCTCTTCAATTAACATTCTAATTGCTCCAGGATAATTTTTTGCTGAAAATTTCTGCTTTCATATCTTCTATTAGTCTATAATTTTATTATAAATACTATCACTACTACTGCTAACAAATTGTTTTCAGTTGAATGTAAATCCTCTTACGTTGCACTTTTATTAAGATCCTTTTTTTGCACGAATATGCACGTGTGTTTGTTTTTAAATAGAAGAGCAGCCTTCACTTATGCATGCTTTCCTTTTTTTCTGACAAGTTCCTTCCTTTACAGCTCCATTTTCAGTAGACCTTTTCTTGAATAGTCACTCTCTTCCCTTTCCCATTCCCATTCGCTCTGTAACCTGCTCCTGCAACATTTCACTGAAGTTGCTTTTATCAAGGTCACCAGTGACTTGCTTTGGTCCAATCCCCTGATGCTTTTCTGTTCTCATCAGGATGACACAGTTGACCTCGTGAAGTTGTCTTCCCTGGACCTCCTGACAACACATCCCCACCTGATTCCCCACCTTCGACTTTCACGTTGAATGCATCAGCAGTCCGATTGGTCCCATCTCCCCAGACCTCCTCATTCCACCCCCTTTACCACTGTTTGGCTCACGACAGCTTCATCTAAACCAGCTACTTGCCTTGCCTGGCTTGCTCCCATACTTCCCTAACTGATCTGCCTGTGTCTACTTCTTCCTCCCGATTTCCTTTCTCCACTGTGTGGGGCCCTGGCCTCCCTCTTCTGCCCTCTGGGCTCTTCACTTCCCACCCTCCTCCTATGAGTAAAGTGCTGTGTGTTTCTCAGGCTGGCCTGGCTTCACACTCTCTCCTCCTTAGAGGCTTTCTTGGGATGCAGATATGTTCGTCCCCGGAAGCTGCCAGAACAAAAGACTGCAGGCTGGTAGCCTAAGAAACAGACATTTATTTTCTCCCTGTTCTTGAGGCTGCAAGTGTGAGGCGAGGGTGTCAGGATGGCCAGGTTCTGATGGGTAGACAGCTGGCCTCTCATCCTGTCCTCCCTCTGTGTATGGAGAGCCTCCAGTGTCCCTTTTCTGATAAGGGAAACAATCCTATCAGATGAGAGGCTAATCTTACAATTTCATTTAACCCTTCTTACATCCTGATAAGCTTCAAACCCTTCTTACATCTGACAAGCTTCATCAACAAAGACAAGCGCACTGAAGAGAGTGCTTCAGCACAGATTTGAGGGGGAACAATTCAGTCCACACCACACCATCCTCCTCCTCTCCAAACCTTTTGTCTCTGGCAAGGTCTTTCATCTGGACTTGGGCTCAGTGAGGCCCTGCGACCGCTGCCTCTCGGCCCCTTTCATTTTCTTTGTAGCCCTCATCACTTATTCATTACAGCGTCTGAAGTTCTGTTGTTCAGGGTCTTGTCATTGCCGAGAAGGGTGTTTGGCATGGACGAAGAGAGCTCCATAAATATGTGCTGAATTTTAATCCTGAGCTTTTGAATCTGTGCTCTCCTTTAGATGAATCTGTCTTTAGATGAAGTGTCAACTTCTTTGAGAGAATGACTTAGCCAAGGAACAATGACCGGCACATGAATGCTTATATTTAGGGCTGAGGCCAGGGACATGGCAGAGTGCGCAGAGGGTCTGGCGTTGGACACTGACCCCAAAACATGAAGGAGTACGTAAGTTCCTAGAAATTTATAAATTCTGCAACCTTATATATTATAAAAATAATATGATATTTTGCTTCCCCTAAAGTTTCACTGATTATTTTGCATTTCAGGAATTTTATGAGTATTTAACAGATAATTAAAATAGATCTCTTAAATTTTTTTGGAATGAAACATATTCGTACATAATTATGGAATATAGTACAATAATTTAAACATGTATGCCTTCTTACAGAAGTATCATACTTTCATGTCTTGCATCTAGGACTGTGGCCCATTTTGAGTAGATTTTGTTACACAAGGAGAAGTAGGGACCTGGTTTGATTTTCCTACATATGGAGTTTTACCAGCACCATTTACTGAAGAGGGTATCACTTCTCCAAACTATGCTCCTGGTACTTTGTTAAAAATCCACTGGCTACAGGCATGTGGACTAATTTCTTGCTCTCTGTTCTGTTCCACTGCTTTATGTCTTTCTTTGCCAGTACCATGCTGTTTGGGTTACAGTAGCTTTTTAATGTTTTGTAGTCAGGTATTGTGATGTCTCCAGTCTTGTTATTTTTGCTTAGGATTGCTGTGGCTACTTTGAGTCTTTTGTTATCCCATAAGAATTTAATGAATTTTGATTATTTCTGTTTAGAATTTAATTGGTATTTTGATGGATTCTGCATTAAATATGTACAGATAACTGTTTGTAGATAAGACACTGTGACACTATTAAGTGTTCCAATTGTTGGACATGAGTTGTCTCTCCATAGTTTCTGTTCTCTTCAATTGCTTCATCAGTGTTTTATAATTCTCATTGTAGAGAACTTTAATTGTCTTTGTTAAATTCAGTTCCTGAAATTTTACTTTTTTGGTAGGTGTTGTGAATCGCTTTTGATTCCTTTATAAGCAAATTCTTTATTGTTATATAAAAATGCTACCATTTGTATGTTTACTTTTTAACCTGCAGTCTTACTTGATTCATTTATCAGTTCTAAGAGCTTTTTGGTGGGGTCTTTAGGCCTCTCTCTCTCTCTCTCTCTCTCTCTCTATATATATATATATATATCATGTCATCTGCATACAGACAATTTGACTTTCTCTTTTCCAATTTAGATGTTTATTTCTTTCTCTTGCCTATGACTTCTCTTGCTATGACTTCCATTTCTAGGTTAAATAAAAGTGGTAAGAGTGGTAAGAGTGGACATCTCATCTTGTTCTAGATGTTAAAGGACAGGCTTTCATCCCTTCCTCATTCAGTATGATGTGGGTTTGTCACCCAGTTTTCCTTGTGCTGAGGTATGTTCCTTCTGTGTCTAATTTGCTTAGAATTTTTATTATGATAGAATGTTTAATTTCATCAACGTCTTCTGCTTCTGCTGAGATGATCATACAATTCTTTGTTCTTAATTCTGTTTTTGAGATGTATTATGTTTATTGTTTTGTGTGTGTTGAATTACCTTTGAATCCCTGAGTCAAATGTCACTTGATCATGGCATACAGTCTTGTTATTTGATTTGATTTGTTAGCATTCTCCTGGGAATTTTTCTGTCTATGTTCACCAGGGATATATTGGTCTGTGGGTTTCCTTTTTTGTAAATCTTTGTCTGACTTTGGTATGAAGATAATGTGGGCCTTATATAAACTTTTGGCAAAGGTGCTTTCCACTTTTTGTTTTTAACAGTTTGAGAAGAACTAGATTTAATCCTTGTTTGTACATTTGGTAGAATTCAATGATAAAATCATCATATCCTAAATAGGAAACTTCTAATTACAGCTTCAACTTAATTATTCATTATTGTTCTGTTTAGATTTTTCTATATGTTCTTTATTTAATCCTTGTGGGTTGTGTATGTCTACCAACTTATTTTCTCCCAGATTTTTAATTTTTAGTATATTATTGGTCATAGTATTTTCTTATGATCCTTGTATTTCTATGGTTATCAATTATAATGTTTATTTTCATTTCTAATTTTATTTATTTGAGTTCTTTTTTTATTTGATAATCTGGTCAGATATTTGTCCATTTTGATTATCTTTCAAAACTCAACTTTTCACTTCATTAATATTTGTATTTTTTAGTTTTAAGTTTATTTCTCCTCTTACCTTTATTATTTCTTTCCTTCTAATAATATTGGAGTTAGTGTTTTCTTCTTTCTCTAAGTCTTTAAAGTGCACTGTTATATTTTAAATCTTTTTGTCTTTTTTTGAGGTATGTATCTATAGCCACAAGTTTCTCTCTTAATACTACTTTTGCTCTACCTTATGGTTTTGATATATTGTTTTCATTTTCATTGGTTTCAAGAACATTTTTCTTTTTTTTAAGATTTATTTATTTGAAAGTCAGAGTTACACAGAGAGAGGAGAGGCAGAGAGAGAGAGAGAGAGAGAGAGGTCTTCCATCCGCTGGTTCACTCTCCAGATGGCCGCAACAGCTGGAGCTGCACCGGCCAATCCAAAGCCAAGAACCAGGAGCTTCTTCCAGGTCTCCCACACAAGTGCAGGGGCCCAAGGACCTGGGCCATCTTCTACTGCTTTCCCAGGCCACAGCAGAGAGCTGGATCGGCAGTGGAGCAGCCAGGACTCAAACCGGTGCCCTTATGGGATGCCAGTGCTTCAGGCCAGGGCGTTAACCCGCTGCTGCCACAGCGCCAGCCCCCATCAAAAACATTTTTCCTTCCCTTTTAGTTTCATCAATGACTTACTGCTCATTCAGGAGCATGTTGATCAATTTTTATATATTTATTTGCTAATGCTGTTCCTATCAGTGATTTCTGGATTTAGTCCATTGTGCTCTGAACAGATACATGATATGATCTCAATTCTTAAAAATTTACTGAGGCATTTCTGTGGCCTAACATACAATCCTGGAGAACATTTCATGTGCTGAGGAGAAGAATGTATATTCCACAGCCTTGATGAATTTTTCTGTAAGTATCTGCTAGGTCCAATTCTTCTAGAGTATTGTTCAGCTCCAATGCATCTTTGTTGATTTTCTGTCTGAATGATCTCTCCATTGATGAAAGTGGGGGTGTTGATGACACCAACTATTATTTCCAGAGTCTATCTCTACATTAGGCCTAATAATTTTTGCTTTATGCATTTGGGTGGTCTGATGTTCGGTGTACATATATATATATATAAATATAATTGTTATACCTTCCAGTGAATTCGTCCTTTTTTCAATAAGTAATAGCCTTCTTTCTCTCTTTTTACAGTTTTTTGTTTTCTTAAGTCTATTTTGAATTATATGAGTATAGATACTCCTGCTTGAGTTTGGGTTCTGTTTTCACAGAATATCTTTTCCCAAGTGCTCACTCTTAGTCTATGTGTGTCTTCACTAATAGAGTGAGTTTCTTGTAGGCGGGAAATAGTGGGGTCTTTGTTCCTTTTACCTGTTAAGTCACTTCATGCCTTTTGAATGGAGAATTCAATTTTCATTTAAATTCAATTTTACTATTTTTAGGTAAGGACTTCCTTAAATCATTTTTAAAAATTGTTTCTAATTATTTTCTATAATCTTTGTTCCTTTTCTTCTTCCTTCTATTTATCTTTGTGGTTTGATGATTTTTTATAGTTATAATTTTTGGTTCTTTTCTCTTTTTACTTGTGTGTCTATTTTATCAGTACTTTATTATTTTGTGTATATTCATGATGATTCTTCATGTCCTTTTCACACCAAATTAAACTCATCTTTTTTAAAAAAAGATTTATTTGAAAGACAGAGTTACAGAGAGAGGTAGAGACACAGAGAGAGGTCTTCCATCTGCTGGCTCACTCCCCAGATGGCCACAACGGCCAGAGCTGCGCCAATCCAAAGCCAGGAGCCAGGAGCTTCCTCCAGGTCTTTCACACAGGTGCAGGGGCTAAGGACTTGGGCCATCTTCTACTGCTTTCCCAGGCCATAGCACCGAGCTGGATCAGAAGAGGAGCAGCCGGGACTAGAACGGGTGCCCATATGGGATGCTGGCGCTTCAGGCCAGGGCTTTAACCCACTACACCATAGCGCCGACCCTAAATTCATCTTTTAAATTCCATTTTCCATGAGCTTTTTGAAATCCCCTGTATGTGATTTGGTGCTTTTCTCTTCCTGTTTTTCATAATTTTCTCCTTATCTCTGACTTTTGACTATAACCTGCTTGGAGAGTCTTTTTGGTTGAATCTGCTAAGGGTCATTTGATCTTCCTAGATCTGGATGCCTATGTGTCTTTCAAAACTCGGGAAGCGTTTAGCTACTCTTCCATGACATGGGTCCTCTGTGTTTCTCCCCGTCCCTTCCTCTGGAACCACCATGATGGGACCAGTTGCTCACTTCCCGGTGTTTCAAATGTCTCATGTTCTATTTACTTTTCCTTCCTTCTTCTCCCTTCCCCCTCCCTTCTTTCCTTCCTTAATTATTTCAAATGAGTCGTCTGGAGATTCAGAAATGCTTTGTTCTATTTGATCTAGTCTGTTATTGGGGCTTTCAATCACAGCTTTTAATTTCAATAAATTCTGCAGCTCCAAAATTTTTCTTTGGATCTGTCTTGGGATTTGTGTCTCTGTTGAGTTGGTCATTAAGGTAATGAATTGTTTTTGTCACTGCCTTGAAGTGTCTGTGCGTATCCTCTCACATCTCACTGAGTTTCTTAGATATTTATTTTGAAATTTTTCAACATTTCATAGATTTCCTTCATGTTAGAGTCAGTTTCTGGAGAAACTATTTTGTTCAGAGGTATACGCGTCCTTGCTTTTTCACTCTCTTTGTGACCCTATGTTGACGTGTGCACATCTAGTCTAACAGTTACTTCTTCCAGTTTTATGGAGTAGCTTTCATGGGGAAAGGCTTTGACTCACATGAGATGCAGGTGCTTTGGCTCTGAGTCAGAGTGAGCACAACAGTGTTGCCTCTGTGTGATTCCTTCAGCTGTAACTAGCACCAGTTGTGTCTATGAAAGCCTCAATCATTTAGTCTGCAGGTGCCTGTGGAGTTCGTGGTGAGACTTTGCAGTTGATATGGATTTAAAAAGGGGCGTGACCACAG